TCTTAACCTTTTTCTTGTTAATGTGGTGGGTTCCATTAATTGTTTTTCAAATGTTGAACCATGCCTGCATACTTACTGTGACTCCCACTTGGTCATGATGCATTATATTTTTGATATGTAGTTGGATATCAGTTGGCCAAGGTTTTGTCGATAATTGTGCATCTATGTTCATGACGGATTTGTTCTTGGTCTGTAGTTCTTGATCCTTGTGGGGTCTTTGCGGGGTTTGGGTATCAGGGTTATGCTGGCTTCATAGCATGAGGTTAGGAGTTTCTATCCTTTTCTATGTTCTGGAAGAGTTTTGTGTAGGATTGGTGTCACCTCTTCTCTGAGTTCTTGGCAAATTTTCCCGTGAAGCCATCTGGACTGGGGCTTTCTTTAGTTTGAAGTTTCTTGATGACCTTGTTTATTTATTCTTCTGCTATGGGTCTGCTCAAATTCTTAATTTCAATATGAGTTAATTTGAGTAGAGAGTGTTTTTCTGGGTATTTGTCCATTTTATTTGTCCAGTTTATTGAATGCGTTGGAATACAATCTTTCATAATACTGCATTATTAAACCTTTTATTTCATGAGGGTCTGTTGTGATTTTCCTTGTTTCATTGATAATTCTTGATATTGTCATCTGCTCCTTCTTTTCCTTTGTTAAGTTAGCTAAGGGTTTGTCAATTTTGTTGATCCTTTCAAAGAAGCAACTGTTTGCTTTGTTGACTTTCTCCATTTTTTTCATTGTTTTCCAGTTCATTTATTTCTGCTCTAATTTTTATGATTTCTTTATGATGTCTTTTCTTGCTGTTGGAAGGTTTATGCTGTTGACACTTTTCTAATTGTTGGAGGTGTTGCATTACGGTGCTGGCTCTCTTCTTTTTTCAAGTGTGCATTAATTGCTATAAAGGGACCTCTAACACCTGCTTTTGTTGCATCCTATAGGTTGGTATGTTGTGTTATCATTCTCATTAGTTTCTATGAACTTCCTAATTTCTTCTGGCCATTATCCAGTCTTTTTTGAGTAGTGTGTAGTTGTCTCCAAGTATTTGGGTTTTTTTTTTTTTATTCTTTCTATTGTTGATGTCCAGCTTTATGGCACTGTGGTCAGAGAAGATGATTTGAATGATCTCCATGTACTGAAATTTTCTCAAGCTTGTTTTATGACCTAGTGTGTAGTCTACAAGCTACGTGCATTGAGGAAATATGTGTATATATTTTTGCCATTGGTTGGGGTGCTCTGTAAATATCTAAGATGCTGAGTGGTTCATTTGCACTGGTCAGCTCTTCCATTTCTTTATTGAGTTTCTTACCTGTTGATCTATCTTTCTTTGAGAGTGGTGTATTGAAATCACCTACTATTTTTGTTGATCTGGTGATTTTTCTTTTCATGTCTTTGGAGATTTGGTTGATGAATTTAGAGGGTCTATTGTTGGGTGCATATATGTTTATTCTTTTTTTGTATTTCGGTCTATTGATCCCTTGAGCGTTATATACTACCAATTTTTGACTCTTGTTATAATGTGTACATTCACATCTATTGTGTCAGAGATTAATATTGTCATCCATGCTTTATTTTATTGACATTATCTTGGTAAATTTTTTCCTGCCCTTTGATTCTCAGTCTATTTTTGTCCATGAGTTTGAAATGTGTCTCTTGAAGGCAGCAGACTGATGAATCTTGTTGTCTAATCCAGTCTGTTACTTTTTGACTTTTGATTGGTGTGTTTAGTCCATTGGAATGCAGTGTAATTATGTCTAAATAGAGATTATTAGCTGTCATCTAATAGCATTTGTATTGGGTATTTTCCTTTCTTCCCCTTTTATGAGGTGGTCTATGTGTGAGAGGAGTTTACTCATGTCTTTGTTTCTCAACCAGAGCTGTAATGATTTGGGTACTGTTGTCAGTGTGTTGATTTCTGGATGGTGTTTCACCCTGCGCTGGTCTCGTGTTTGAACACTGCACTTGTTTATTTTCTGTCCCAAAAGAAATGGGGAGTATTTTTTTGTAATGCTGGTTTTATTTTAAAATTCTCTAAATATTTCTTTTTTTGAGAAAATTTGTATTTTTCATTCAACTTTGATGGAATGCTTTGCTGGATAAAGGATTCTTGGATGGCAGTTGTTGTCTTTCAACTTTCAGAATATGTTGCTCCAATTTCTTCTTTCCTTCGTGGTCTCTGCAGAGATGTCTGAGCTTATTATTATCATCTGCTTACCTTCATGGGGTAGCTTTTCTCTCTAACTGCTCTAATGATTCTCTTCTCCTTGAAGTTGGATAATTTGACTACTACATGAGGCTTACCAAACTCACCTCCAAAAATGGATTTTTTTTTCCCTCAAAGCTATGTATTTAATTTTTTTTTTTTTACAAAACAACCTTATTACCTTCAAGCACTCCCCATTACACTTAATATATTTGTCAAATCTTTTATTCCATTCTTGGAAACATTTTTCAAACTCATTTGTTTAATGGCTGAAAGCACGTCCATTCGTATTTTCTTCACCTCTTCTACGTCATCAAATCACTGTCCTTTAATGTCTCTCTTTGTTCATGGAAACAAAAAGAAGTTGCATGGAGCGAGGATAGGTGAGTAAGTTGTGTAGGGCAAGAGAAGCATGCTGTGTTTTGGCAAAAACTGGTGCACTGAGATGGCTTTGTGCACAGGTGCATTGTCGTGGTGGCAAAACCAGTCCCCTATCTGCCACAAATCAGGCCTTTTTTGGTCACACACCGTTACACAATCTTTTCAAAACCACTAAATAGAAAGCTTGATTAACAGTCTGACCTGGTGGAATGAATTCCACATAACCTATACCCCTGCCATCACAGAAACAAATGAGCATTGGCTTGATTTTTTATCTCACTTGGCAAGCTTCTTTTTTGGGGGAGGCGAAGATATCCTCTTCCACTGACTTGATAGATGTTTGGTTTCAGGGTTGTAAGAAGAGCACCATATCTCTTCACCAGTAATGACCTTGGACAAAAAGTCTGGCTTGCTTCGGAGCTGTTCTTTCAAAGCACAGCATGTTTCCACTAGACATTTTTATGCTGATCAGTCAGAATGCAAGGCACAAATTTTGCAGTTACCCTTCACATTCCCATATCTTCCACTAAAACTCACTGAATCAAGCTCCAACAAAGTCCAGATCACATCCCCATTTTTTTTCAATGGTCTGTGGTCAGTTTTTGAGCACAAGTGCATGAATTTTCATATGTTCAGGAAGTTGATGGACACCCAGATGAGGTTTGTCATCAATCGACTTTCACCTTTGTTGAAATGAGAAAAGGACTCATTTACACTTGAGGTTTTCCCATAGTGTTGTCCTTGTAAGCTGTGTTCAACATCACAACAGTTTCTA